CGCTACTCGTATCTTTTATGTGCCAACCACAAGATTAGGTCCGCCACCGTCTCGTGCCTGCGGAGAAGGGAGGCGGGGAATGCCGGGAGATTTTCTTCTCGTCGCCTCCCTGCCGCCTGCGGCCTCGAAGGGGCAGACGCCTGAGAGGGCGACGCCATTGGAGTTGGCGACAACCCCTACGGTTGGGCTCTCACACCATGATGGGTCGAAGGAGACTTCACGGTTGATTGCTGCGGTCCCCAATGAAAAGGGAGATTTTCATCCTGGCGCCGACAGCGGCGTTCCGCCGTTGCCGGTGGGTATCAGCAGCATGACAATGGAGTCAAGTGATGCAGTGGAGAAAGTGCGGATGACAAATTTTCTTATTCCTTTAGAGGAGGAGGGGCGATTGCACGGCGAATTCTTATCTTGCTTGCAATGCAAGTTTGACGAGGCGTACTCTCTGGCGTTGGAGCAGTTGAAGCATCAACACTGGAACGACTGCGGCGAACCCACGAGCGATCAGCTTGCCTACAGCCGTGAACGGCAGGTCATTTACCAGGAAGAGATTCGGCAGCTGCGGCAGAAGTTGGAGGCGGAGTTTCAGGAGGAGCGGCGACAGCAGCGGCGCTGTGCGTACCAGCGGTGGGCGCAGGTATTGTCAGCGTGGCAGAGGGAAAAAAAAACGGAATACCAGCGGGCATTGGCGTATTACTACGACCACTACGAAGGCGAGCGTCTCGCGCCACGCATCTTCTCCAAGTGTGACGACGCACTGCGGACAAACCTTGGCTTGGAAGAGGAAGCCGCGATGCGCTCACCTGCTGCAGCGATGGTAAAGGATCAGGTGGTGTGCCTTCGTGATGTGTTGCGTCGGCTTAAACGAGAGGTGAAGAAGGCCAGCGAGCACGCGCAGTGTTGTTTACTGCAGCGTGATGTGTATGTTTCTGCTGCGAGAGCTCGTGTTCAACAGCAGTACCTTGGTATCGTTGCAGAGCAGCAGAAGGAGCTCAAGATGCTCCAGCATTGGTCCATGGAGATGCGGAGGTTAGAGCTGGACGCCGAAGAACGCATTGCCACGTGGGAAGAGCGGTGTCGCCGGCGTTCGGAGCGCATTCAGTGTGAGAAGGGAGAGCAACTGTCCTTCTGTACATGTAGCGGTGGAGTTGACGTTGCCAGGAAGGCTGAAACTGCAGCGGACGTTGGGAGTCCCATTCGCTTTCGAAAGGGTCTATTTGATTTTTTGCTATGAGAGTGATTTCTGTCTACATGTGAAAGTTATTATTTAACTCATATCCTTTGGTTCTTGCCCCGCATGTGCATATACGATTGTAATGCGTCTGCGTCTGCGTCTATTTTTTTTTTTCTTTCTATGTGTGTTGCCTTTTGATTTGGTCTGCTGGGGGGGGGGGGGGGTGTGCGCCTGCTTCAGCACCCGGAGCCCTCTTGCTTTGTTGTTTATTATCTTTTTTTTCCTTCAATCTCTTTTTTCCGCTAGACACGCCTGGTATGCGTCTGTACTCGTAAAGGCATTTTTTTTTGTTGTCTTTATCTGACGTTTGATGCTGTGATGCAGATGATGCCCGGAGTCGTTACATTGAGTCCGCTCTTTTTAGGGTTATTACGCGTCTCTCACACGGCTGCGTACGCCCTCCAACCTTGTTTCGCCACGCGTCTCGATGTATATTCGGTTTCCGCCGGCTCTGAGAGCTGTTGGGTGCCTTGTGCACTGCTAATTTCACAGTGTGGCGAACTATATCTCTTTTCCGCCGCTGACGGACGCGTGATCAATGCGGCTTTGCTGGGCCAAGTTGCAGGCGTGATGGACACTGACAAGGCCCGGGTCGACGTCGTAACGCAGCGCATGCCGGGTCCGGGGTCTGACATGCAGAGCCTCTATGTGCGTTGTAGGCAGCCGCTGCAGCCTGTGAACCTCTGCGAGAAGGGCAAGCGAAGCGACAGTACTACCAGGCGAAGTGAGGCAGTTGCGGAGAGCGAGGCCACGCCCAGCACAGTATTCCCACCCTTTTCCTACCTGATGCGCTTTCACTGTCGAAACGTCCCAGTTGTGCTGCAGCTTCTCCGAATTATTACGGTTTTTGCGGATCCAGATAAGGGTGAATTGTTTATTCGTCAGGCGCAGGTTCCGCTAAAAGAGGAGTTGGATTTCTCCATTTTTGTTGATCCTCTTGATACCACGCCGAGGGAGCAAAATAAGCACGCCGTCAGGATAAGATGCATAGATGGAGCAGCGTCCTCCGAAACGTGTACCCGCTTAAGGAACTTCTTTTTCCTTCGAAAGCAAAGGACGTGGTGTATATGCGAGATGTGGCAAAGGCAGCAAAAAAGCGCTTGCTGGACGCCGGTGCTCGCATTGAAGTGCCCTCGCCGTTGGACTCAACTGCCCTTCTGAGACCGTGTTTTATGACTGAATTTAACGAGGCAAATGAATTGCTCGGCCACGCCGCGGTTGAGGCGCCGCTTGGCGGCAACATTGCTATGGCCCGACAAGGGATGACATGCTCGTTACAAGCGACGTGTGGAAATGCCGTTGATGCGGCGTTGCCAGCCATTTCTCAATTTTATGAGATGGTCATGGACAAACTAGCGCACTTTAACTTCTCTTCCTCTGAGGACGTACTTCAGATGTACGGCTTACCAGCATTTGAGGCCCAATTTGCTGTTTTGTTGGCGCAGCGCTACGTTCAGGACCTCGTGGAGAGATGTGTGGGGCGGTTGTTAGCGATTTTTCCTAATGCCCCAAATTTGCCTCGGCACCGAATACTTGCAAGGGAGACGGTTCAAGAAGAACTGCGGTGGAGGTTTGGCGTCACATATCGCGAGTTGTGCCGCACGACGAGAGCGCGTATCAATGGCGTCTCGGTGCGCCAACTCTTGTGTGACGAGGAGCGCACCACGGCGCAGAGGTCGCATGAAATGGCAATTCAAGAATTGCTTCTGGAGGCTACGGACCGCCGGCAGAAGATGATTGAGGAGGAGGCGGGCGTCTTCTTTGGCACCAAGCACGAGCCCATGTCGGCCAGTACGGGCCGACCGCTCCCGCCGCTGTGCGCAGAGGAAACGGCGGAGTGGCGCAACGCGGTGGTGGAGGCTGCCGGTGCGCTGCAGGCGCTGGAGCTTGAGGTACGGCGAATAAGAGATAGCGTTGACGCCGACACTGACGACGGCAGCGACGAGGATGAAGAGCAGGAATACGCTGGAAACTTGATGGGCGGCGTAGCTGCTTTGTCTTCAAGAAAAAGAAGGAATGGGAACGGTGCTCGCTTTGCGTCTGTGGAGGAGGAGGAGGCGTTTTTGCTGAAAAGGATACAACGAGAGCAGGAGACACTTTCATCGCTGCAACTGAAGCGCTCCAGCTGGGATCAGGGGGTGAGAAGCTTGATGGAGGATGATGTGGAAGTGAAATCGATGCGTTCAGAATACAATGCGCTTATCCTGAAACAACAACAAGAGATTGATGAATTGAAACAGGAGCTGCAGCGAAGCGCAGCCACCTTTGGCATCAGTACTCCCTGATTGGAGGATCAGCACCGACGGTCGCGTGTGACGCATGAAGTTTTGAGCTCCACGTATATCGGATGATTTATTATTATTAGTATTATGATTTTTTGTTGTTTGATGTAAGTTTTTTTTTTTTTATTATTATTATTCCTTTTTTTTGTGTCCTCACTCTCTTTCTTTCTGTCGATACGCTTTTTGTGGGCTTGGATGCTTGCAGGTTGCCTCCTCGTTTCCGTTGATCTCGTGGCGGCTGGAGCAACTCCACACACACATACACACACACACACACACGGCAGGGATGAGGAGAAACGGCGGAAAGGCAACGTGAACAAAAACGGGAGTGACTCTGCTGCTGCTGAGGTCTTTCTTTCTGTGCTGCTTCCCTGTTCTACATTTTTTCTTTTTTTTATTCTATCTATCCGTATATATATATATATTGCTTTGTTTTTTCTTGTTTCTTCTTTTAATTTTTGCCACGTGTATGCGCGGTTGTATTCCCGCATCCGGCGCAAGCAGGTTCACGGCGTACGATCACCAGACAGTAGTGGTCGCAGTGACGGAGGGTGTGAGGGACAAGCCGCAAACACGCACGCAGGAGGAGAACAAACAGGAAAAAAAAAAGAGAAAAAAATGCCTTCGACAGCTACGCGAAGGGAGCGAAGTGACGGGCGCAACCGACCAACCGGCGCTGCGGTTACAAGCAAACGAGCACGCCATGAAGTTCCGGGTGCGAACAGCGACTCTGTTCTTTCGGGGTCTGTGCTCCACAACAAGGCGGACGCACAGCTCTTACCATGGCTGTTTGAGTGCCATCGCGTACTTCGGGCGGCAAACCCGCCCTTTTCCGTCAGCGCGGCCTTCATCAAAGAACTTCTCAATCCCCGTTACTTGAAAAGCAGCCTTAGCGGCGTGCAGCAAATGACCGGGTGCCTGTTGTCCGACCTGGTGCGGCTGGGCAACAAACATGAATTCCCAGAGACGTCTGTCACGCTACCGTTTGATGCGCGTTATGCCGATGATGTCTTAGCGTGTCTGACTTTTCCCTTTGGACAGGTAGCCAGAGGCGAGGCATGTCTGAAGACATGCGAGCATTTCATTGAACGTGCAGGTATTTCGCACATTTTTGCGTACGTTATTCCCCATTGTCGCCGGGCGGTGCACGAGCGTCTAACATGCATGTTTCAGAGCATTTCACAGGCTGCTGGATCGTGTACAGGAAGCGAGGCGCTAACAAAGAGTGATAACGCGATTACTCCAATAACTGCTGCGGAAATGGGGAGGGTTCTCGCTGACATTCTCAGCGCAACCAAGTCCATTACCCCCGATGAGCTTGCCCCATTGCTAGCGGAGATTACGGCCGCTTCACCTACCTTGCTGCGCCGTATGGAGTCAAACCGGCTAGCTGGAAATACGGCTGGTGGTAAACCAGTTGCGAACGCAACACGGAAAAAGGCCCGGGCGCCCGGTGCCATTATCGCTGCTCGTGTTTTTTTGGAACAGTTGGATGTGATTCACCCGGCCATTGCTAGCTACATGGTGGAGTTGGTCGAACAGGGCGTGGGCGAGGTGGCTGCGGCCGAAGTTACGGGCGACGAGCTGGAGAAAAAGCGTCGTGGGCTGCGCGGGGTTGGACGGGCGATGGAGTGCTTCGTGGCGTTGATGGAACTGCACGTGGATCTTGTCGGGCAACTTGTCCCGGCACTTCTCCCGTATCTGGAGCACGAAATTGCGGACATCCGCTTGTTGTTTCTGCGTGGGTTTTTCATGGCTTTTGGCGCTCATGAGACCGCCACTTCGACGTACCGTTCCGCCTTTGCCGCACTCCTTGCACGCTTCAATGACCCCAAGCACGCGCTGCGTATAGAAATGCTGCAGCTGGCGGCAAGTGCTATTGGAGTCTCCACCCAAGTCTCGGCAAGCTTTACGGAAGAGCGCGTTCGCGACTTGCTTCCTTTGGTGGAACTTCACCTTGTGGATCCGCACGCGCTGGTGCGTCGCGCGGCAGTACTTGCGTACGGTGACATCGTCACTGCCGCTCCGTCGCTCGTGACGTCCGAGCGAATGGAAAAGACGCTCGGGCAGCGCGTCGCCGACAAGAACCTCAAGGTTCGACAAGCTGCGGTGGAGCGACTTAGTGACATCTACCGCACACTGCTCTACCCGTGGATTCCGAATGTGATGATGCAGTGCCTGAACGCCGAGGGGGGCGTGTTGCTGTTGGAGGCAAGCTTTGAATCCATGCTGCCACCCGCGTCAAGGGTGGTCACCGGTGATGCGTTGCTCACTGCGTTTGCTTCATCAACCTCCACCGGTCGGCGCTCGGCACGGGCAAGTATGGCGTTGTTTGACTTTGAGAAGGAGAGTGCCACGCAGGAGCGCTCCTTTGCTGATGGCTTGGCAAAAATGTGTTCCCACTTAAATCCCAAGAGTTTTAATAAGCTGCTCACTTTTGCCGCGAAGAAGGCGCAGCTACGGCTCGCGATCCTGCGTCTCTTTCAACTGCGTGCCGAGGTGCGGAGTAAAGATCTGAAGTCGACAGAGGGCCAGGAGATGATCAACAATATCCATCGTCTTCTTAACTTTGTGCAGACCATGACACATGCGGAGAAAGGGGAGTGGGATGCCCTGTTTCGCTCTAAGGATGACAATGTTTCCAAGGCGTTCTTGAGCTGCTGTGCGGATAGGCACCTCCACTACGCGAAGGAGCGGGAGTTGCTTGTCAAGGCACTGAAAGGTCGGGTTGAGGGGCATGTGCTCAAGTTTGTGCAGGAAAGTTTATCGAGGCAGATGATGCTTCCAGTTGAGCTGGAACATGTTAATGAGTTGATTGCACGTCTACGTGAGACTCTGCGTGGTGTCTGCGGCGATGGAGCTGAAACAGTGGAAACAGAGGTGAAGCACGAGGTGGAGGGTCTGCTCCGTGCACTCATCATCCTTGAGCGCACCGCTCCGTCGTTTATGCCACACTGCGCCGTGCCTCTTGTGGATTTTGTAGAACTTGTGTGTCAAAGCAGCAACGCGAAGATTCCGACATCGTGGGTGATTCTTCTTTTGAATTGTGTTACCGAGTGGGCCAGGTACGCAAGCGGGGCTGCGGTGGACGAGCATGGGTACGACAAGGACACGGCATCCGCCGATATTATAAATACACGCAAAAAGGCTCTTTTTACGTCGTTGGCCCGGTTATGTTCTTGCAGCCACGAGCCACTCTTGCAGGACGCCACACCCGAGATGGTGGGGGCCATGTGCAAGCATGCCGCCCGTTGCTTCATCGCTCTCATCAGTGTCAACGGTTTGCAGGAGTCAAAAGCGCTCAGTCAGTTGGTGCATTCTCTCCTTGCTCGCATCCGTAACTCGGCGACTCCCACACTTCCCAGTGCCGTTGGGTGGCTGAAGGCATTGACAGCCTTCGCGAAGGATTGCGCGGTGGCACCGCTTTTGCAGGATGAATCGTTGATGCGCACTCTCACCGAACTTCTGCTTGCCGCTGTTCGTGACAGAACTACGGCTGAGGATTCAGCCAAGGTCAACGCGAAACGAGCCGATGTGTTTCCCACGTCACTTGCCGCTGCGGTTGTAGATGCCACAACAAAATGTATGTCAGCAATCGCGTTGAGCTACGCCGCAGATCGTGTTGTAGGTGCTGTGGTTTCGACGCTTAATGCCCTACTCGCTGCCTACAAGACAGCGGGCGAGTGGGAGCCAAACACAGTTGGTGCGTGTCGCCGTCGTATTTCTATTAACCAGCAACTAGCGAAACTTGTAATTAGGCCATCGTCTGACATCGCTAAGGAGCTTGCCGTGGCAGTGATTCTCTCCGCCGAGGATGAGGTTGTTGTGCGGCGTTCACTGCAGAAGAAGATTACTTTCCATATCATGGAGAACCAATGCGATATGCGCTACGTGGCTTTTCTAATTCTTACCGTTGTTAGTGAGGAGACGAAAAGTGGGTATCAATACCTCCGTGCCCTTCTACAGCAGGTTGGTGACCACCTTCGTACGAAGCAGAGAAGCTCCGGTGCGACGTTGTCGTCACCTGAGGCCCTTACTTGCTTCCTCGAATACACCATTCCTTTTTTGGTCTTCTTTATGGCTCATCACACCTTCTACAGCACTGAGCAGGAGAACCACTTTGTTGCGTACCAGCGTGTCTGGCATCTGCTGTTTGATGAGCTTTTCCGCCACGGAACGCAGTGTGCGAGCTTTCTGGTGGAACTCTTTACCCGCATCAAGCAGTCAGATGAGGTGGTTGACAGAGACAGCCACGCGGCACGGCTGCTGTGCGACCTGGGTAGCCGGGTGATGCAGGAGTGCCTGGGACAGCGGCAGATCAGTGCAGATGCACTCAAACGATACCCTGGACGCGTTCTTCTGCCAAATTTTTTTCGTGTCTTCCAAGTCTGCCGCGGAGGCACTCGGTACCATCTTTCTGGACGCAAATGTCCACATTTTCACGCACGTTCCATTCCGTGCGCCAACGGCTGCTGCTGCTGCTGCTTCAGGTGGTGGCATAGCAGGCGAGAAGGCAGCTTCCTTAGTTCTTGTCGCGAAATCAGAGGACGCTGAGGATGCTGCCAACCCCGAGTTCACCGCACGGACGGAGGTGGATTTGCCACTGCTTTTACGGCAGCGCGTTGATAGGGTACTAGACGCATTTATTGGCCCCATGACAAAGGAGGAAATCGTAAAGGTGAGGTGGTCAGACGTGAAACAGCGAATAAGGGAGACGATGATTGCTGGTGAGGACAACACCGACAACGACAACGAAGAAGAGAACGTGGATGAGGCAAATGTCATGGAGTACGCCAAGGAGCAGCTCCGGCAGCTGTACGAGAAATCCCCACCGCAGTGATTCACGCGAGGGGAGTTTGGCACGCGCGTCAATATGCACATTGATGAGCGTGCACCAGAGCAGGGAGCTGCCACACCACAACCATAAAATATACTTAATCGAATGGATAAACCAATGCTGAGAGGAGTGGGAGGCGGCAGCACGTTGGTGCCGCAGGCGTTCCACCAACAGACATTCATAGAAGGCAAAGGAACAGAGGTAGGCCGCGTTAGTAGTTGTTGTATGCGTGGTTTATTTTTTTTTTCTGTTTCCTCCAGAGAATAGAGTGATGAGGCAAACTGAAGGCGGAGGCCTACGCGCGCGGGGGGAGGGGGGAGGGGGACAGCAATAGCAAAAGGAGTAAAAAGGTACGGCAATCAGAAGAGTTGTTTACCAAAAAGGACTGGTGTCTTTGAGTGACAGAAATCAAATGATGAAGGTGAAGGGGAATATAAACAAAGAGGGATAGAAGGCAAATACGGTAGAATTCTTCTTCCTCCGCCTCCTATCTGTCTGCGCAAGTGCGCGTGGGAGGGCGGTGGTGAGGAGGAGGAGAGGCGGGGGAAGAAAAATGACACTGCAGTTTGCAGCCCGCCTGTACTCCCTCGCTTTTGGCGTGTGACTTTATTCCCTGCCGCACACGAAACGTTCTTTTTTTTTTTTTTGGTTTTGTCCTTTTTGTTTTTCTTTTGCCGCATCTCGTCTCTTTACCGTAATTGTTGTTGCTGCTCTGCTGCACCTGGTTTTCTTCAAGGTCGTAAGTACGGTGTGTCGCTCATAATTTGCGACGAAGGGCGTGGGCCTCAGCACGTACGCGGAGAGGCAAAGCAGGAACATAAAGGAAACATTTCAAATGTCTGCATCTACTGCAGATATCCTTAGGGTACGGGATGAGTTGCGGAGGCTCAATTTGAACCCGGAACCCCAACGTGGGGCCTTTGCTGCAAGGAGCTCAGGGTTAAAGTTTGATGTGAAGAAGGCGACTGCGTTAGCGAAGCGATTCAAAAATTACTCCGCCGAGGCGTCGGAAAAAACAATCTTGATGCAGCTTGACACTGTGAGCTTTGGTATGTTTATTTCCGAGGCGGCTCACGGTGTCGTGCAGTCGCTTGGTCATGGGACAAGGATGAAGCCAGCGGATGCCCATTCGCTAGCTGTAGTCTGCTCCGAGGTGCACCAGCGCTACGGGGAGTTCTGGCCCTCGGTCCTGAAAGAGTTGAAGGAGAATGTTGAAACTATTGTGGACGCCGCGGCACTCAAGGCAGCCGTGGAACGCATTGAGGAATATGCATTAGCGACGGTGTCAACCGCTGGAGAAGGAGCTGCGCCTTCAGCAATGACAGTAGCATCCTCGGGGTCTTCTGTACCTCCGTCTGCCGCAGCCAAAAACAGCCTCCCGACGTCATCAGTTAAGTCGCCTGTGGATGAATTTAATCGTCTGCGCTTGGTCACTAAGGTGTTTTGTGAGTGGTGGCTTGTGGGGCTTTTTTCGGATGCTAAACCGGTGCTGAACCTCTTGAAGTTACTGTACAAGCTTGCGGAGAAGCGGGCGGGAGCGCCAAATACCCCTCTAGCCGTCGCGACAGTTCTCTCGATTACGGTTCTTGTGGTACGCGAAGTAGGCATTGAAATACTTGGTAACGAGAATGCAGCGTTGTCGTGCCTTTTCCCCGGAAACAGGGAAAGTGCAAAGGGCCCAGAGGGACTTCGTGAGCTCATGGGACGCTGTGGGGTGTTGACAACTGACGAAAACACGGAGGAGGAGAGGATGACAATGCTCCTGCTTGGCCCCGTGGGAGCTCGGTTGACGTTCAACGCCACAACCAAAGTGGTTGGACTGGTGGAAGATGCGGTGGCGCATCAGGCAGAGGAGGCAAGCTGGGCGAGGTTGTGCGAAATCCGCAACTCTTCAGCGGTAAACTACAGCAGAGATGTGGAAAAACGCCAGTTCATTGGGCTCGTTCTAGCCACTGCGAAGGCAGGTCTTAGAGCTTATACACAAGGTAAAAACGAGATTGAGAAGTGGTGGCGCTCCTTAAATGATCCGGCTGAACTCCGCGGGAGAAATACACGCTTTAATGTGGATGAGGCACGGTTTCGTTTGCTTCAGGAGCACGTAGAACGACTGTTTGTGGTGTGTGATAACTTGCTTGGCATGCTGGGCTTTGTCGCCCCGTTGCCCATCGATCTCTCGATTGTTGAACAAAAGGAGGAAGTTGACGCGGTGCGGATTTCAGTAATTCAAAAATTCCGCCCCATTGTGGGGGCGGAGACGCTGAATCGCTTTGAGAACGATGAACAGCGGATATTCTACGAGTATGTTCCGGAACTCGAGGCGTTGTCGAATGATGCACTCCTGTTGTCGTTGGCTGCCGAAAGGGCGAACTGGGACTTGTTCTCGCGCCACAGGGCCAGTGGCGGGGCGACTGCGTCACCGTTCGTACCGGCTTTGTCTGCTGTGGCACTTGGGGCGGCTGGTGGGGGCGGCGATGCCGAAGGCAGTGAGGAGGACTTGATGGACGACGAAGTGGAGGTTCAGACGACGGCTGACGCCGTCGAGGAAGGCAAGTATCAAAATTGCACTGAGGCCGTGGCATTAATGAAGCGTCGGCGACTTCGCCTGGCTAAATTGGCCGTCCCTGCGGCGCTGTTTGATGACTATGCGGCAGTATTGAGGTTGCTGGAGGAGCTTGAGCGGTGCGCCAGTGCTGCTATGGTGGATGAATGGTGCGAACGGTTTGTTGGGGAGGCACTTCAGCCGCTTCGTCGTTCATCGGAGAACTTTGTTGGGGCTGCACTGTTCTTCACAAACTGTCGAATGCTATTGACGCTGGAGTTGCGTCACTTTTCGCGCTTCCGCCACCCTGAACAACTTCCATTTATGGCTCGCTGTGCCGCAATCCTTCATCAGTACTTTCCTGATGTTGGGGAGTACCTTGGTACAAAGCTGGAGGCGCAGTGGAGACGAGAGTATACAGCTGCCACCTTGACAAGAGAGACAGACACCTCATGCAGCACATGGAGCGATGCGGTGTTGCAGCGTCGGTGCACTGCCACCGTGCGGTATCTGTGTGAGTTGATGAAGTTTGGAAGTATTCCACCTAGCCGGGTGTTGAACGTTTTGAATGTTGCGATGGAGGAACTGAAGCGGCCCTGCAGTGTAGCAACCATTGCTGGCGCCATTGAGCACGGTGGCCTTTTCTTGGTTCGCAACCACTTGACACGTCGAACGGCGGATAAGTTAATTAAAAAACTTAAGAGTGCGATGCAGGAGGAGGCAGTGAGCGAAGAGTCCTCACACACAATCACAAAGGCGTTCACCTTCTTGCGATCTGCACCTCCTGCATCTGTTGTGAGTTGCCGTGTTGCCCCGGAAGAGCAGACCCCACTGGCGAAGTATGTGCAGTATCTGCTGCATCGTATCTTGTCCCCGACGAACTATAACTTTGTGCGGAGGGAGCTGCTTAAGATGCCATGGAATGAAGCTGAAAGTCGGGAAATGCTTATTCGAGCGCTGCGTGGTGCACACCAGGTGAGTTGGGATGCCATTCCATTTCTGGCCGACTTCTTGGCCGTGCTCTCCCAAGCGGGCTGCATCCAGGTAGTGCAGCGTATTCTGCACGAGATTGCAGAGGACATGAGGCGTGACTTGGAGGTCGGCAGCGCAGTCACGAGACGTGGTCATGGCGATGTAACGAACCATCGGATGACCTCCGGTGCCCATCTCCCATACCGCCCTTTGCAGTGGCGCCTGGTTGACTGTTTTTATGTTGCCAACTTCTACCGTGTTCGGTTGGTGTCTTTCCGGTTTGTGGTCCACCTGTTGCTGCTACTGCTGCAATACTTTCCTCTTGCCACACCTCACTGCAATGACTACAGCCGCCTGCAGTGCTCGGTTACCCTGCTTTGGGAGTGCCTCCCGTATCTTCCTTGGGCCGTAAGTACAGGTGCTCTCACTGGGGGACGGTCTCGCGCATTAAGAGCCATGGAACACCTTGACAGTCTGCATCAGCTGCTTCGAAAGCTCATGTCACTACTATTTCTTTACCGATTTAGCCTTCCAGAGACGCTGCCTTTGCAACTGAAGCTTAGGCTCAAGGAACTCGTGGAGGAGCTTGGCAACAAACTGCACCGAGATGCGGCCCAGCGGGAGGGATGGGAGATGCTCTACAAGCAAGAGAAATCTGAGGTGAAGTTGAAGGAGCAAACAACAGAGGACCCACAAGAGCGCGGCCCTGAGCGGGAGGGAACATCATCGCAGATGTTGAGGTTTCCGGAGACAATGGCAGAAGCCGAAACGTACGCCAAGGCTGTAGCGGAAGAAACTGTGTTTCCTGCCAATACGTGGTATGAAAAAACCTACAAGGCCTTTCAAGACTGTCAAACTGATGGTCCTTTTTTTCGTCTTTTTCCTATAGGCGAACAAGATGAGCCACTGGTCCGTACACCGGAGTCTGCGCAAACTCACAACGCCGATATGGAGGACACCATACCGGCGTCGATGGACCTCCTACCCGAAGAGTTGGAGCACGCGGACGAGGTTTCCACTGAAAATGACAGTGATACAGTGGAGGATGAAAATTCCACGCATCAGATCATCATTAATAGGAGTTGCAGTGGTGTGGGAAGCATAAGCAGCTCTAGCTCCTACTATTATGAGAGCGCTAGTGAGCGCGACAGCAAGTGCGAAAATGTTGCAACACCACTCACCTCTGCTTCTCTGTCGGAGGTAACTTCCACAGACGAGGAGGAAGAGGAGGAAGAAGAGGAGGAAAGTGAAGCAGAGGAGGAAGAAGAAAGTGAGGCAGAGGAAGAAGAAGAAAGTGAGGCAGAGGAGGAAGAAGAAGATAATGAGTTTGAAGAAGGCGGTATTTTTGCTGCAGCAGAAACACTGCGACTTAGGCTTGAGGAAGCCAATCTTGACGGCGAGCTGCGTAAACTCATGTCGGAAAACCCCAGAGAGGCCATGGGAACTGCCGTTGCTTCCGCAGTCGCGAGGGGCATTCCCGCAGAGCGTCTCATGGAGCAGGACCTGGCGATAGGTATGCGAATGCATCGCCAGCAGCGGCGTAATTGCACGCAGAAAGGTCCCCTAGCGCCTGAACTTGAATCGCAGAAAGAGGAGCCGGTGCAGGCGGTGCATTTCACGCTGCTGCGGCGCCCTCCGCCTAACAGTTCGACCGCTGGGAAGTTGGGGAGTGTGGGCGTAGCTGCTGTTTCTACCGCTAGTACTCCTCACTCCACGGCAGTTGCGTCAGCCAACGTGATGAAAGTAAATAATGTTGCTGTTCTTAGCATTCCCCGCTGCACAGAATTTGCTCGGAATGCTTTGGTGTCACAAGAGCATTATCGACGGCAACAAGAAGAACTACGAGAGATCACTCGGCGCATCAATCGCATGCAAGAAGAAGAGACAAGTGCCCACGCTCTGAAGCCAAGGGTCTCACGGTAGGCGTTCCTGCGTGTTTGTGGTTGCGTCTTTAACACGGGAATGTGTGGCGAGAAGGGCGACATGGGCAGTTTACAAAAGCAAGGTGTGAGGAATAAAACTTTCCTCACACTGTAACGGGGAAAAAGGAAGCGTCTTTGTCTGGATTATTTACCTAACAATGTCAGCGGTTTTTTTTTTTTTCACGGAGGTTCTCACTGTGTCTGCCTATCTGGAATTGTCTGGCACATCCTCCTTCAACTGCGGTGCGGGGTGGGTGTGAGGGGCCATCATGATACCACGCTGAGTAGAATCCTTCTCCCTGATCTTATTGTTGTTGCCTGCTTACAATTATCTCTCTCTTTTTTTTTTGTTTTGCTTCTCTTTTCTGTGCTTGTCGCTCCCCGCACCCTGAAGGGCAGCTGCAGAAGTGTGCCTTCGAAGTGTGGGCGGTGAGTCCATTTTTCGTGGGGCCCAACGTTCATCGTTACAAGCTACGGAACAGCAGGAAGAAGGAGACGGCGGCGGCTAAACGGGGCTCCAAGAGGAGGATCTGAAAACTAAGTGGTGCATCGGTGACACCACGGGGTCGGGGCGAGGGAATGGCTTCAGAGAGTGACATGGCAGTTTTGGCTACCAGTGGCGTGGGCGGGGAGGAGGGCGACGCCGCCAAGGTGCTGGCACAAAAGGAGTGGAATGCAGTTGGAGTCATGGCGCGCGTTCGTCCCTTGTCCACGGTGGAGCACGCGGACCCCTCCGTGAAGAGTATCTTGCATTGCCTCAAGGATGGAATTGTTGTCCACGGTGTCCCAACGCAGTCACCGTCTCGTTACTTTGGTGTCCGTCATGCCAAGCCTCGGTCACAATATTTCAAGGTTGACGAGGTGTTTCACCCACACAGCACACAGCTCGAGGTGTATGAGGCCTGCCGTAACGTTGTGGCTGGTGTCTTTGATGGCATTAATGGCTCTATCCTCGCCTACGGTGCAACTGGTTCGGGAAAGACGCACACCATGTTTGGCAGTAACATGAGTGTGGCAGGGGTGATATACCAGGGCGTGCGGGACATCCTGGAGGAGAAGGAGCGACTAGAGGTGGAAGAGCAGAAAGTGGTGAAGGTGCGTTGCACGTTTTTGGAAGTGTATAATGAGGAGGTCTTTGACCTGCTAGTGCCGTCAAGCTCTAGTGGAAAACGGATTCCACTGAAGCTGCAGGACTTTGGCCAGGAAGACAGTTTCCACGACGGAGAGAGGAGTGGTGCCAATCTTGAGAGTCTTAGCGTGAAGAGTCTTACGCACGTCACGCCTCAAACTGCGGAAGACTTCGCCAAGCTTGTGGAACTTGGCCAAGCAAATAGATTTGTTGCGTCTACCAACGTCAATGCCCAGTCAAGCCGCTCACACGCAATTCTTACATTGGAAGTGGAGGTGAAGGACACTGTGGATGCGACTCTTGGGACCGTGGGCCGCATTCGTTTTTGCGACCTAGCGGGCTCAGAGCGCGCTGCAGGCACAAGTAACAGTGGTATTCGTCTACAGGAGGGTGGAAACATCAATCGTTCCCTTCTCGCGCTTGGCACCGTGGTTCAGGCCTTGATCTATCGCAGCAAGCACCCCGATCGTGTGAATTATATTCCATATCGAGGCTCCAAGCTGACGCGGCTACTGCGGGATTGCTTTGGCGGAAACTGTCGCACGTTAATGCTCTTTTGCGTTAGCCCAAGTAGTAAGATGTACGAAGAGACAATCAACACGATGCTCTTTGCGATGCAGGCAAAGGATATTCAGGTCTCTGCCAAGCGCCACGAATTCCGTGTTGATTCAAAGGAGGTGACCAAAAGTCAAGAGGCACTGATTGATGAACTTCGCTTGGAACTGGCACAGACACAGGATGAACTACTGCGTCTACGCGGGGGCAGCCCCGAAGCTGCCTTGAACCGAAGCGTAATGGGCCGACAAAGTTCACAACTCGTCGCGGATTCTTTCTCCCCGATGCCAATTTTGACACCTTGTAAAGGAGAGCAATCACCGCCTCCGGGCGCTTCGACGATTGCAATGGGAAACGACATTCGACTGGAGTCCCTGGAGACATCGCCTACCATGCTTCACACCTCACGTCGTTTATCGACTCGAGTGACACTGGGAGTGTTAGGGTCCGACGCGTACACGGCACTGCAAAAGAAGCTGAAAAAGTTTTCAGTGGCGAAGGAGACACTCTACCGAGCGATGCGGGAGACACAGGAGGCCAACAGTGAACTTGACATTCGACTGCGGCAGCACAAATGGAAGCTTGCCCGTTTTCTTGCCGCCCGACGAAAGTCAGCTGCTGGGGATGCCAATGAAGAGAAGGCGACACCGGTTGGTGTGGCGGGCCTGCGGCTCGCTATTGAGAAGATGGAGATGGAATCGGCGACACAAGGTGGGAAAATGGAGGAACTTTTGGAAAAAATGAATGATACGGATCGCACCATCGCTGGAATTCGTCAAGAGTTGTTGGGAGAGAAACAACACCCACTACTGGAGCTCCTGATGGATAATGTGAAGCTGCGACAAAGTTGCACGGAGGCGGAGTGTCTCGCGGCGCACTACCACCAGGAGTGTCGTTCTATCATGAATCGTGAAGAGGAGTACATGCAGGCGCTTAGTGTGTGTATATCCGTGATACGACACATGCTTCCGTTAGCCTCTGGTGTTTCACACATTATGGACGAGGCGAAGCTAGCGCTTATGTTTGCCAATCTCCCTTCCTTGTCTACGATGGACATGATTCCCTTCTTTGAGCGATCGATGAAGACTGGACATACCCCATCCATCTCTCTTCTTGATGCACACCGGGCATTCTCACCTGTGGAAACCATAGAGGCACGTATACAGCGTTTGGTGGAGGGTCGTGGAAGTGGAAAGAATTCCGTAGCACGTCAACCATCCCACTGTCGTGCACAATGCCAGACCAAGGGAACACCGTCTAGCAAAGCACACGTAGGCAATGCTAGTCCAAAAGTTGACCGTATTCCGTTTTCCACTGGACCAACACGGTCGAGGTCGGAACCTTTTGTCACCACACACAGCACAACATCGTTGCGTCAACCGGTGGAGAATGGATTCGCTACCGCAAAAAATCCGGTAGGTTTTGATAGGACACCTTCGGCTAATGCAAAAAAAGTCGCTTTTGTGGGAGTTACAAAGAAATCTGTAACAAGTGCTCCTGCGCCGCGCTCACACCTCCGCAATGGCAGCAAAGGTGCCCCCGTAAAGAGGGCCACATCACAGGGTACAAGAGCAGCTACAGCGTCAGCCGCATTTAGTCGTTCGCACACGGCAAGTGAGGCCCCGCATGTCCGCATGCCCAAGAATGGCGGTCTGTCTCTTGTTGCGAATGAGGGACACAACCGCGAGCGAGTGCGAAAGCTACAGAACTCACCATCGTTAAATCACTCCTCTTTTTTGCCAAACAGCGACGGGAACGTCATGCCTTTGCGGCGGAATCGTGTAGCATTTCAGTTACCTGCTGAAGAAGGAGCCTCTAGTTTACCCCAGCGGCGACTTCAAAACACCGACCTGGAGGAACGGTTCACAAGGCTTCTAACCGAGGTACAACAGTGGCATATTGGAACTGCTGCAGCCCCAGTGGCAAAGGGTAACCACACAACTCTGCGTCCCGTCACCGACATTCCGTGAGAGGAGACCCTTGCGTGAGGTCACAGTTGTAACCAAAACACTGTATGTGAATGAAAAACTGAAGAGTACAAACCATGTTTATCAATTAAACAAAGGTAAAATAGAATACGTAGAGAACTAGAGAGAACTGAGTTTACAGAAGGATAAGCTGTCTGTGCGCATTTTGTTTTTGGCTTACATGCTCTTTCTGGTTCCAATTTTTAAAGTGATAGTTTTTTGAAAGTAAGGTGCAACTTGTTGGGGATAAATAAAAGATTTAACGTATCGTTGAACTCCCCTGTTTTTCCCTTATCTATAACTTGGTTTTCTTTCCGGAAGACTCCCCGTTGAAGGCAGCACTTGTAGAGTTGTTTTTTTTTTCTTGTTGCCGTTCTCTGGCGTGTGGACGAGATGGAAGCGATCTCTGGGATTCTCTAGATTCCAGTTTTTGGCCGTAGAGTGGTCAACCACACAACGCAGCTGTCGTCTTTTCCTGTGGGAGACTGCGGCAGCTTCCTTTTACATCACAGCGGCGACGGCGTAGATGATGGTTGTGGGCCTGCTGGATGCAGGTGTCACTTCTTCTGCCCGAGGGATTCGCCAATGACGCGGATGATAGGGGGAAGTGTTGGAGGATACGGGGCGGCCCCGGAGTTTTGCACGGTGATGACGTGGCCACATGAACTGCTTGCGTCTACTGACGCGGAGGCCCACAGGTGTGGAGGTGCCTGCCGCATAGGGCGTTTGGCTGCTGGGGACGGGCGCCCGCACGGATTGAGAGAGGCCGTTTTGGAGTGTGGGTGGGCGCAATGTACCAGCAACACCCCAATGTTCGCCTTTTTGGGCGGCGCTACTTTCTGATGCGCACCTCGCCGCATTCAACTCGAATCCTGCAGACGCGTTGTCAGTGGTCATTCTTTCGTTGACTTGCAAGGAACAACTAGAACAGCACCCTTGCCGCCATCGATGCACGTTATTTGGTTACGAAGCATCCAATTGCAAAGTGCGCGGCGTTGTGTTTCCTGCGAGCTACTGACGGAGTTGACAGGTCGTCGAAAGCTTTCGACACACACACACACAGAAAAAAAAAGCATGCCGCGGGCCTGAACGGTGACTGTTCAATAGTTTATTGGCTCTAATTCACTGCGCGTCCCGACAATTTGGGTCAATTGCCCGAGGACATTCTTTTTTTAGTTTATTTCATCAGTGCGGCACGCCGGCGCATGTCTGCTTTGAATAGAGGGAATCTCCCTGAGCGATCCCGAGCTCGTCGAATCCGTGATAAAC